TACCTCCCTTTGCCCTCTTATGCTGCTTTCGACCCCCCTGACCTTCCCCGTCCCTACCTCCCGCATTTCCCCGCCAGCCTCCTTCGCCCTGGTACTCACTGCAATCCCTATCCGTCCTATCGGCTTTCGCACCCTCGCTCTCTGACCGCGAGCAATGGACACAAATTGGAAACGTGATGTGGAAAAAAGGTCACCTCCTTCGCACCCCTATCCACTATTATATACATATATACGTATATATACACGACATCGCGTGATTTGCATTGCATTAAGCGATATTCTCGTTATCTATATATCTATAGATAGTTACTACCTGGAAAGTCATTCGGCATAATAAATTAGTTACGTGCTCGACTCGAATGGTTTGGTCTTCGTTACGTCTGCTATGCGCGCAGACCACGTTTTACCTGCTAAACTATAGGACTCTCGGTCCGTACGAATGTCAGTGGGCTGACGTCGGAGCTCGGGAGGTCAGGGTCACGCAATATTCCTTGTACCCGTGAAAATAGGAAATTAACGTGGGTTTGCGTATACGCGAACCCTCCCCCCTGTAAGTTTACTCGGTTTTTCTCGATTAATAATTGACGCCGTTAAGAATGGCGGTTAGGGGGGCTGCAAATAAAATAAAAGAGACAAAGGAGTTAGAGAAGGAGGAAGATAGATAGATAGAGAGAGAAATAACACTTTACGGAATTCACTGCACGTTTCGAAATCTTAGTTCCCTACACGTTCCTTCATATCTGAAGAGCCCGGTGGCGTCTGCTGCTGCTCCATTCACTCACCCACGGACGCAGCACCTGCTGCCCCCCGGTATCCAGCTTCAACTTTTTATTTACAAAAGTCGACTGCGGTCCTGGACCCTACGGTCAAATGGTGGGTGGCTAGGGAAGCAGGGGATTAGAGAAAATGTTCGAGAGTCTCTTCCTTTTTTTTTTCCTCAGAGAAAATAAATATGTAAATTTCCGAAGAGCCAGCATACCCAAGGGTGAACGCGTGAATGTAGGCGCAGGGGTATGGTACGTGCCCACTCATCTGTTTGTGTAAAGGGGTAGCTCTACTCCTCGTACCTCGTGAACGGATATTGGACGTTGTTGCACCAGGAAAACGCACTTCCGATACCAATGCGGTTTCAATTTTCCAATGCCTCCTATTCCCACCCTGCTGAACTCAGCCCCTATCTCTGTCTTCGTTGTTCATTAAATTTTTATCATTCCAACCTCTCTCTCTCTCTCTCTCTCATCCCCCTCACAATAAACTGTCCATATCGTTCGTCAATACTATCAATAACAACCTCGGATACACGCGTCGAAGACGAATCCCCGTGGATACTAACAAGGTGCGAGTGTCAGATATAAATGTCCCTAGAAAAAGTCACTAGCTTCGTATCGATCTTTATTGTACACTCCCATATACCACAAATACACATATATCGGATGGTCAATAATGAAATTTGTAGTCATCAACCAACTTTGCCTTTGTTTCTAAAAATTTCATTTATGACGACCTAAAATACATATAGTATAAAAATTGTCAAGTTTACATCTAATCGGCCGATGAATCGGAATCTCGTATACCACCATTATTGTACGGGAAATTCATACCTCGTAGCTTTCCGACGATTGCGTGGCTACCGGTCATCGTTCCTGATGGCCTCGCATTAACCTATTATCTTAATCTGCCAGCAGAGGGACAAATAACAAGGCGCAACGCAGAAGGGTTACAGGACGTCCCACCCCACCTCTTCCCCCGAAGCGTGCGTCACGTGTCACGCGTAGAAAGGATAGCCTTACCAGGAGATATATGATCGTCTACGTGTAACCACATGGTACGTACTACACGGCCTCATCAGAGAGTAACAGTAGCGTATACGTATATAGCGGAACCCGTGTAATGAAGCCCTGAGACAAAGAGAGACAGACAGAGCCCAAGAGCGAAGGGCGCTACGACGTCGCGGTCGCAACCCGACTCCGCGTCCTCGTCCTCCGAGCTCCTCCGCTCCTGCATCCTACCGAGTCCCGCTCTCTCGTACCTACAGTCCTCTACGCGCTCCGAGGAGGAGAAACAGGCGCAAGCGCCCGTCCGATCGATGCTCCTACCGTATAAAGCTCTGGTCCTCGGGGGGCGCGCGACAGTTGGCGATTGCATCCAGAAGACGCGCGCTGCGTCGTCACTCGCGTCTCGCGACCCTCGTGTCCTCTCTCGGTGGCATCGGGATATTATATAGAAATAGGCAGAGATAAGGGTTGCGGGATTCAATCGGTATATGAATTTATTGACAATAAAGAAATTTAGGGTATACGAGTGAGAGCGAGAGAGAAGGAATGAAATAAAATGAACCTATACGAACAATAATAACAATAGTGATAAGGCTTACCGATAAGATTATTATCACAAGCGCGAACTCGGATCGAAGAATTGGGTAGATTTTATAAAAAAAAAAAAAAAGAAAAAAAAAAAAAAAGCGAGAAAAAAAATATCTTGCCGGATAACGGAAGTTTCGTTAGCGACACAGAAGGTGAAAGTGATTTTTGGGTTTCCATGATACGCGTAAGATCCAGAAGTTGATCTCCGTGCGAATCCGACGACTTCCGTTATTGCGATAGCGTCGCGACGGAGTCCCTTCAGGCGCTCGTCTCATTCCTCCACTTCTTCGTGCTGCATCCCGGCTGGGACGTCGTCGAGAAGACGGGATCGCGTCGGGGCTATCGCGCGCCGGAAGTACCGATCAGACGCACCAGGAGAAGGAACGCGGACGTGCAACAAGTTAAGAGGAGGCCGTCGCGATGTGACATGGATATCCTAGGCGTAGCCTGCGCCGTCGTCGCGGCGGCTCTCTACTACAATACACTCCACGCGGGATTTGTCTATGACGATCGGTGAGTTTCGAGATCGGCCGGATACTTGGCCGCATGGATTTTTGAACACCTGTCTCGTTTATCGGTCATACTGTCTCTGCCATTGGATATCTTGCGTATACCGATAACCATAGGAACATAGTGTAGCGCACGTGGTAGGTGCGACAGTCATTTTTTTTCATCAAATAACATAGTCGTTACTTTTTTTGAAAAATATTTATTTCTTTAAATTTAGTCACCCTGGGCGATTTTTTTTTTTTACGCGTTTCGTCGCGACGTGCAGTCACGTGGCTGGGAAGTTTGCACCTTAAATTTCCTCGCGAAACTAAATACCCGTCCCCTTGGTTGGCGTGTACGTTGTTTCCGGGTAAACCTTTCCGTTACTTAGGGGCGGTTGTATATATATTTTTTTTTGCGAGGGTTGGTACCCCTTTATTTTTTACCTTTCACACTTCTTCACGATCTGTACGCAGCGCTCGGCATCGCGGTACTTGAGGGCTGCAGAGTCGCAATGGGGGGTGGTCGCTGAATTGCATAATATCAGGCTTTAAAACCAGCTCCCAGCAGATAATGATAGCCTGAGGTAATTAGGACTCTAGTGAAAATGTTCTTGCGGCTCTTATCTTTAATCGCTGTCGACGTTAACGTGGTCCGCTGACGTAACGCGATGAATCAACCGGCAAATAGTCCTGCGTTCTGCCTGCTTGCAGAGGGTGTCGGGGATCGGCAATACTCAACCCTACCGAGAAACCCCGAGATATGCTCGCGACAAGCACCCTTAATCCAGGGCTCTTGAATTCTATGATCCTGAATCCCGTAATTGAGGATTCCGTAATTTCAAGTGCCATTCGCTATTCGCCATTCAGCTGGGTAACGTATGTAAACGTACATAGGCCTACGTATTATACATATATGACACATTCGCCTAAACATAGAACGGATATTGTACGATTACGGATAATAGCTGAGTAACGTGACCCAAACAGGGGTGAAATTGCCGCGCGCACAAACGTACGAACGTACATGAGGCATTCTTTTATAAATCGTACGGATTTGTAAAAAAAAAGTTTTCGAATTTTTAAATGCTCTGAATTTTTTTTTATAACATCTCCTCATCAAATTAGCCGACACCTATATCGGGATTTTGGTGAAAAAATTTTTTTCAATTAACTATATTAAACAGAAATTTCAATAAAATTCGAGAAAATGCTACACTTTCCTAAATACAAAATTCAATATCTCTGGTTTAACCTACTCAATCGATTCCGTCTTTTTTTTCATTGTTCACATTGTTATGGTAGATTTTTATTGAATATTTACATGACCTTTATTTTTTTAATTAAAATATTTATTAGCACTTACATTGTTTAAACAATTTTTTCACCTTTGCCCCCTCAATGAATAATATTTAAAAAAATACTGTTGTGTGTGCTATATCTCAATCTAATAAACGCACATTTAAAAACAATGGAGACTTTAGTAGATTGGAAAATATTAAATATTATTTCGTTTCTTTCTTTACTCAGAGACGTTTTAGCACGTCAAGCTATGATCCACGCGCGACGCGCACGCCGCGCACTAGAAAATATTTAATATTTTCGGATCTAATAAAGTCTCCACATTTCTTAAGTGTGGGTTTTTTAGATTAAAACATACTGCACACGATAGTATTTTTTTAAATGTTATTCATTGAGGGGGCAAATGTAAAATAATTGTTTAAACAATAAAATTGTTAATAACTTTTTTAAATAACAGAATGAAGATCATTTACATATTCATTAAAGAGCTAACATAACACGGTAAGGAATTAAAAAAAAAACGAAATCGATTGAATGAGTAAAACCAGAAATAATGAATTTTATATACATGAGTAATTATCATTTCTTCGATTATCATTGAAATTAAAAATAAATATACCTATCAAAAAAAAATGTTCTCTCAAAAATCGTGATACAGGAGTCACATTATTTCTTGAATAGAAGCTGTAAAAAAATTTTCATGAGAATCTAAATTCTACAGTCGAAAAAAGTGTTCGATTTGTAAAAGAATACCTCACATGCAGAAAGACAGGCAGACACGAGGCATTCGTGTGAATGTTAAAAAAAATTTTTTTTTGAGTTTAGTGAAAAAAAATTTTAGTCAAAAATGCAATATTTCTTTTTTGTAACCACCTTCGCGACGCAGGCTCGCGGATAGAGGGCACGACAGTGTAGGAATATGGGGGATGATTTTTCAATGTCTTCCGATCGTATACGAATAAAAGTGACTCTGTTAATTTCGAAAGGCAGCGGGATCCTTAATTTCTCCCACGTCCTAATAACCGGAAATGGGCAAGGTGGATTATGCATACGGGCCAATTTTTCATCTGCGTCCAGGCCCATTATGGCGCCGGGAGGAACTATTCAATTCGACGTCACCGTGGGCCAAGGCTAACGTGGCCAAATGCTTTCGCGGGTCGGATATAATTAAGTGGAGATTATTAACCGGAATCCCAGCTAGGACCATTGTGTTTGTGTATATATATATATATATTCCCTAAAACGTTTATTATTGAATATCTCGAAACGTGCCGCGTTTCTATGTGGGATCCATTTTGCCATTCACACGTATAGGTATAGGTTCACGTGCTCAATGGGCCATTTACACGGCACCCGCAGTACCTGCGTTCCGCAACGTACTGACAATGTCCTGTCCATTCACTGTATTTCCACGTTCTTTTAATCTTAAGCATATGTATATATATATAAGATCATAAGCATAGAGAGCGAGAGAGAGAAAGAGAGAGACGGAGAGAGAGATAAGAAAGGCCAGGATAAAAGTTGCCGCCCGTAGACGCGGGTCCAAGGAAATATCTCTGAAAGCGAAAATGGCTCGCGGACTTACGCTCGGGGTAGCGTAAAAAATGCGTCCTCGGAAACACAAAAGATGGCCGTCCCGGAGTTTATACCGGTATTGTGGCGAGCTGTATCGTACATGAAAAACTCATATGATATAAAGGGGACCACCAGTATTTTACTGCGGTGTGTGTTGACTACAATGGCTAGGAAAAGAATACGCGACATATTTATTTGCATACTTTATGCGGGACGGTGAAAGACGGAGAGGGTGGTTATACAAGTGCGAGAGAGAGAGAGAGAGAGGGAGACAGTGTCTGAAACCGAGATAGATAGGGCACAGGGAGAGGTTTAGCGGTAGGTCCCTAGGAAAAGAAAAAAGGTTGAAAATAAGTTAGATCTCCCATCCCTGTCCTTCTCTGACCTCCCTCCCCATCCTTATGTGTATATGACAAAGACGAAAACCGGATACTCCGGACAATGTCGCGGCGAACTACGGAGTTCAAATTTATATGAGACCCTCCAAGTGATCTCTCGGTCCTCTGTGCGTTGGTACAGTCTAATTAAATTATTGCCTCAACCGATGATATCCTGCGGTTATAGAATGACGAGGGGAGACATGTATATATATATATATATGTATATATGTATATGTATATATGTACATATATACAATAGAGAGAGAGAGAGGGTGAATTTGCGAGAGAACATAATAAAGATTGTACATATGAAAAATTTTTATCATGCCTTTTCAAATTACGTTCATCAACCGAATTTGTCTCCTTTCGTGAGAATTTCTCACGCGCTCGAACGATTCCCACGAGTAGCGAGTTTCGCGCAATTTGCAACGTTCGCCTTTCCACTTCCGGTTCTCGCGAATTGGGTGAGCGAATGCGATAACGCTTAAGCGTTTAGCATTTCGTACCTCTGGCTAGTATATTATGGTATATACTATATGTGTGTATATGTATAGACATATATTATGGTATATGCATACATGGGTAAGCATAGATTCTACTATAGTTTCGATCGTGTCCATATGAGCTTGTAGGTGTATATATATATATATATATACAATGTGCGAATTTACATACCCACGCCAGTACACGGTATTATGGACATTCCGCGATTGCCTCTACTTGTACGCACGCGTTACGCTGATTACTCAACGGACAATTTTACATAATTTATAAAGCGTCATTTTGATCCGCACGACTCGCGCTACGTTTAAATTATAAATTCAGCAGTGAAATTGTTCGCGAAATCCAGTGCGCTCGAGTAACGACGTTCGCCGTGATTTTCCAACGAATCGCTTTTCGGATTATGGCTATTTGCAAAATTTCTATGTTTCCCTCGTTCGATTTGCTCTTTACATCTCTCGCCCACCCTCGCCCCTTTTCATCCTTCATTATGGTCCAGACTCTGCCATCCGTCTCTAGATAGCTTAACGGATACGAAGAAGGTGAAAAGGACACGCGGTTCGGAAAGACGCAAGACAGAGAATGTTCTAGAACAATCGGACCAGAGAAACGATTTGATTCGTCGAGCGGCAACTTTCCGTTGGATCCTTTTTTTCCTCTCTTTCTCCGTTCGACTCGTTCTTCGATTCCTTCTGTCTCTCGCTATCACGCTACTTCGTTGTTTTGTTTCTTGCGTTAACAAATTTCTATGACTATATATATAGCGTTCACTCATTCACGCCTGTCAAGAGTTCGGATATTTCATTGTCCCATACCGGCGGATAACGGCGATAACTCATTTTTACAATTTCTGACGACGCCGAGAGCCATCGTCGCGTGTCAGCAGCGACGGCCAATCGAATCGCTTCCCACCCTCTTTCCTGTCGTCGTTCGCGAGCTTCGACGACCAATCGAACTTTCGCAATCGTCTCTATATACTCCGGACGGTGGAGGCTGGGGTGGCCGGTCGCAGCGGCAAAAGCAAAAGTAGCGTGTCCAGTAGTAACGCTAACGTATATATAGAGCGTAAAGTCGGCAGCTGCGGCATCGACTGGGACCGCCGTATACCGCACTCTGAGAGATCTCATTGGTCCATAGCTCATCCAGTCGATTTCGGCTTGGCCGCGTATCAATTCCCACGATTCCTCGGAATTGACCGTATCGTCCATTCGACGCCAGTTTAAAGTTTCTCGTGTATACCTCAAACCCTCGTTTCCCGGTAGCTTTC